TCCCGCAACGTGATGTCCACACTGAAACTGTGTATTCTTTGTGTCATTCTAAGTCAAAAAGTCTTAATACACATTATGCCCTAAAGTCGCTTGTTTCGAAGTTATAGCGAAAAAATGCAATAGAAGTTATTTCTCACACTAATGCGAGAAAAGCACCTTTATGACTTATTTTACCACACTAGGGCTGCGTTCGGAAACATCACCCGTGTGCACACGAGTGTCTTTCTATCTTTGTTATTTACTAAAAGTTGAACAAAGATAGAACAATGCTCGGGTGCTGTTTCCGAACGTACCGTAGTAGTGCGGAAATAACAGGCATTACAAAAAATATTGTATGTATGGCATATGCGGAAGACAACAAACTACAACGCGCATGAAGTTGTCGCATTCGCTTCAGATCATGCGGCAACTTCATACTCGACATAATTCATTGTTTTCCACACTTGCCACACAAGATAATATTAATAAATTGACTGTCGTTTTAAGTGCGATTCGTGTCTTAGGTCGTATTTTCTCGCGGGGAGCGCTAACGGCGTGCGGCGGCGACGACGGAGGTGGTGGCGAATTGCGGACGTTGTCGTCGGGGCGCGCGGAGAGTGAAAGATCGTGAGAGGCGAGATTTTCGAGTGTCCGATCCGGTTTCGTTCCGTCATCGGTCATAGTCGAGAGATCCTACACTTATAAGAGTGACGATCGTGCGACGACGACAATGAAGATACGCCTGTACATTGATTAATCGCGCATACCGTGTGCTCCGTGAATGTATGTATGTACGCGCGACGTGGAGACCGAGAACGGCGAGCTGTCAAACCCCAAATGCTTACTCGCAAAGAGATGATGGTTTAACGAAGGGGATAACGGAAAGAAGCAAGTACGGGAATGGGAGAAGGAATGATACGTAGGGATAGGAATCTCGCGTAAAAGGAAGAATATCCCGCGTGAAGTAGCGCTGGATCGAAGCCGGATTACATATATAAACCAAACAAGGTGCTGTTTACAGGCCTCTCGTACCCTATCTCGCGGACATGCTATACTATACTTTTCTAATGTTTAGTATCGAGAAGGACCGCTGTTAGTTCGGTGTGTTGTCTAAATCCGCCATTGGGCGCTATATATGCCCCACTCCATTGTACTCTATTCTGATTCGCCGAGTCGTTATACCTTTTCGCTCACAAGTGCAAGAGTGAGTATTCGCGTTTGACGAGGAACGCGATAGGAGCCGCCGTTCACCTCCGTCGCGACGACGTTGTCGAGAGCGTGAAGGACGGGAAGCGGCAGAGAAAGAGAGAGAGAGAGGGAAAGAAAGGGAAAGGGCGCATGCGCAAGAGCGAGCGAGAGTGGGAGGCAGATAGGTAGATAAAGCGAGAGAGGGAGAGCGAGGCGTGCGAAAGATCCGTGGATACGGCGGGGTGTCTGGCACCCGTGCGTGAATCACGCCTCAGAAACGCTCTCTCTCTCTCTTTCTTTTTTTTTCTCTCTTTCTGCTCCTCGCCGTCGTCCTCGAATGCGTCCCCCGTGCTCGTCACGACATTGACCTGTGCCGCCGCCGGACGCCATCGCCGACGACAGTCAGTCAGCATCAGCAGCGGCGATCGAGGGAGAGTAGCAGCCAGCCAAGCGGCGTCTCTCTCTCTCTCTCTTTCTCGCGTCTGCCAAGGGACACCCACGAGGAAGATTCCAGGTCTTCATCCTCGCTGATATTATCACTGGTCGTCATGATTGGTTTTGTTCAGGTCTCGCGACCGGTACTGAGAATTCTATGATGAAGGGTGTCGTTACAGTGCGGTGAAAGAGAGAACACCTACACCTGTAAATCCATCTACCGGGTGTGCCTTTCGAGAATCGAGGATTCCAAGATTAGCGAGACTGGAAATTCGGTAGCAACGTCGTCGTCGTCGTCGGTGACGGGGCTCGAGGGTTTCCTCTTCGAGGAGATTATCGTGCTATTGAAAGTGAAAGTTGCGAGAAGGACGAGAGGGGTGCGGTATATCTATTCAAGTATATATAGACTCGCGCGTTGACAGAACGCGGGTTCAATTAAAGACGTAGAGACGCAGCAACGGAGGATAGACTGGCAACAAAGGAACAGAAGCGGATACAACATGTCAGATGAGGAAGACAAACCCCCGGCACCCCCTGTTCGATTGACATCAAACAGGTACGTTTTGCATATTATTATCCATCTAACGTAAATTCGTATTGATAATTGATTTGACAAGGGACAACCGGATACAGCAAGATATTATTTGGCCTTGTGTTGATTTTTATGTAATATATATTTATGTAAAATTTATTCAGAAATTTTTTGCATTGAAAGAAAGATTATACAGATAATCATTTAATTGGTATAAAATAATTGTACTGTATAAAATAATTGCAATTCATTTTTACAATTTTTTACAATTTTTACAATATTTATAAATATTGTAAAAATTTATGTAGATAATTTTTAAAAAATACAGAAAAATAATTTATATATTTGACATATAATTTGGAATTGTAAATTCTGTCATAACTTTCATATCTTTTATGCAATATGTATAAAAGTCTACATTCTCCAAAAATAGAGAGGCATTAAGCTAGAGGTTGCTAAAAATAATATCTCTTGCTGACTTTCTTCTGTGGGAGACCATCATAAAAGATGTCTAGATGTAATCCCAACATGTTTTTAACATATTTAATAT